TGTGACTGGCTTATTTCACTTAGCATAATCTCAAGATTCATCCATGCTGTAGCATGTGACAGCATTCCTTTTTTTAAAAAAAATACGTTTTTATTTATTTCAGAGAGAGGAAGGGAGAGGGAGAGACAGAAACATCAATGATGAGAGAGAATCACTGATAAGCTGCCTTCTGCACCTACCCTCACCTCCACTGGAGATCAAGCCTGCAACCCGGCATGTGCTCCAACCGGGAATCAAACTGGGACCTCCTGATTCATAAGTCAAAGCTCAACCACTGAGCAGTGGCCAGGCCCTGCGTTTTTAAAGCTAATATTCTATTGTATGACTGTACCTCATCTCCCTCCCTCCCTCCCTCCCTCCCTTCCTTCCTTCCTTCCTTCCTTCCTTCCTTCCTTCCTTCCTTCCTTCCTTCCTTCCTTCCTTCCTTCCTTCTTTTTTTGTTGTTGTTGTTGAATCCTCACCCGAGGATATTTTTCCATTGATTTTTAGAGAGAGTGCAAGGGAGGGGGAGTGACAGAGAGAGAAACATCAATTTGAAAGAGACACATTGATTGGTTGCCTCCCACAGCACTCTGACCAGTGCCAGGGATCTAGCCTGCAACCGAGGTACATGCCCTTAACCATAATCGAACCTAGGACCCTTCAGTCCTTGGGCTGACACTATCCACTGAGCCAAACCAGCTAGGGCTACTGGTATACCTCATTTTCTTTATTCATCCATCGAAGGACATTTGTGTTACTTACACATCTTGGCTATTGTGAATAATACTGCAATGGACATAGGTGTGAATTTTTGTGTTTTTTTAACATCCTATTGATATATAATTCACATATCGTATAGTCCACCCACTTTAATGTGTATAATAGTGTGATTTTTAGTATATTCACATAATGTGCAGCCATCACTCCAGTCAATTTAGGAACATTTTCATCACTTTAGAAAGAAACCTTGTATCTTTTAGCTGCCATCCCTTTTACCCCCTTCTTCCCCACCCAGCCTAAACATCCACTAACCTGTCTCTATAGATTTTCCTATAGAAATCAATTCACTTTCATATGAATGGAATCATATAATATGTGGTCTTCGTGTCTAGTTTCTTTCCCTTGGCATGTTTTCGAGGTTCATCCATGTAGCACGTCACACCATTTTGTGGCTGAATAATATTCCATTGTGTGGTTAACCATATTTTGTTTCTTCATCAGTTGGTGGACATTTGGATTGTTTCCACCTTTTGGCTGATATAAATAGTGCTGCTATAAACTATGGATTAATATTTGTTTACAGGGTTTTGTGTAGATATGGTTTCATTTCTTTGGGGTATATACCTAGATGTGGAATTGCTGTGTCATATCATAACTCTGTGTTTAATCACTTGAGGAATTGCCAGACTGTTTTACACAGTAGCTGTACTACTTTTACATTCCTACCAGCAGTGTATGAGGTTCCAATCCATATCCTTGCCAACGCTGGTTACCTCACATTTTTATTTTAGCCACCTTTTGGGTGTTAAGTGGTATCTCATTGTTTTATTTGCATTTCCCTAATGGTTAGTGATGTTGAGCATGAGCTTTTCATATCTTCCTTGGAAACCTGTCTATTCAGATTATTTGCCCATTTTTTATTGAGCTGTTTGTTTTTATTATTGAGTTTTAAGAGTTCTTTATAGCCCTAGCCGGTTTGGCTCAGTAGATAGATCCACAGACTGAAGGGCCGCAGGTTCGATTCTGGTCAAGGGCAAGTACTTCGGTTGCAGGCTTGATCCCTGGCTCCTGTCGGGGCATGTGTGGAAGGCAACCAATAAATGTGTCTCTCACATCAATGTTTCTCTCTTTCTGCCTCTCTCTCTCTCTGCCTTCCACTCTCTAAAATCTAATGCAAAGAATATCCTCAGGTGAAGATTAACAACAAAAAAAGTTATTTATATATTTTAAATAGAAGTACCTTATCAGAAATATGAATTGCAGATATTTTCTCCCATTATGGATTGTCTTTAGTCTTTTTAATATAGGTAAATTGTAGCTATAAATTTCCTAATTACTACTTTCACTCCTAAGTCTTGGTATGTTGTATTTCAGTATTTTTGGTAGTTTGTGTATTTATTTTCATTGATCTCAAAGTATTTTCTCTTGTATGTGATGAGTCGCTTCTGTCTTGCTGTTTTCAAAATTCTCCCTTTGTCTTTGTCTTATGAGGGTTTGAATATTATGTGTCTCGGTAGGGATTAATATTTGCCATCAAATATGGAAAGTTTTGAGCCATTATTTTTAAATACTCTTTCTGCCTTTTCTTTATATGTATGTTGGTATGTTGCATGGTGTCCTATGAGTCTCTGTTTATTTATTTATGTATTGATTGATCCTAGAGACAGAAAGGAAGACAGGGGAGAGAGTGAGAGGAGATTTGTTGTTCCACTTATGCATTTACCAGTCGATTTTTAAAAAATATATTTTTATTGATTTCAGAGGGGAAGGGAGAGGGAGAGAAACATCAATGATGAGAGAATCATCGATCAGCTGCCTCCTGCACACCCGACACTGGGGATTGAGCCTGCAACCTGGGCATGTGCCCTTGACCAGAATCGAACCTGGGACCCTTTAGTATGAGCAGGCTGACGCTCTATCCACTGTGCCAAACCAGCCAGGGCAACCAGTCGATTCTTGTATGTGCCCTTACCTTGATCAAACCCATAACCTTGGCGTATCAGAAAAATACTGTAACCAACTGAGCTACCCAACCAGAGCTGTTTATTGTTCTTCATTCTTCTTTCTGTTCCTCAGATAGGTTAATTTCAGTGGATCTATCAAGTTTTCTGACTTTCTGCTTGGTCATGTTTGCTGATCCATTGAGCTACTCTAGTGCAATAGATGTTCATCTCAGTTATAGTACTTTTCAGGTCTAGAATTTCTATGTGGTTCCTTTCTATAATTTCTGTCTCTTATATTCTCTATTTGGTGAGACGGCATTCCTTTACTTCTTTAGACATGGTTTCCTTTAGTTCTTTGAACATCTTAAAAGCTGATTTAAAATGTGATACTAGAGTAAGTGAAAACACTACAAAGCTTGCTGTTCTTACCAAGATTCTACTATTTTTCTTGACCGAATGCTCTTTGGGTTGCTGCAAGCCTTTGTTTAATTTCCAGAATTCTGTGAAAGTTGATTCTGGTGATATATCGCAAGTTGTTCATTGCTTTTATGGAGGAAACAAACTTTTAGTGGTTCTTACTGGACCTTTTTGTTATTCCCTTGCTTGGATTTTGAGTCAAACTATAGATAGATATTTTTGAGAACAGTAGCAAAAACTGAACACAGTCTGTTTATTAGATTATTAATATTTTAATTTTGTTGGATAAGAAAATTGTTTATGATCATATATATTTTAAAGACCCTGTCTGTTAGAGCTACATAGTGGTGTTCAGAGTTTCCTTTGATTTGCTTTCAAGTACTCTCAGCTCACAGGCAAAAATGTATGTGTGGGAAGAGAGATAAGAAAGAATGGCACGTGTTGCTGAAGCTGTGTGATGGGTGCATAGAGATTTACTGTCCCACTTTATTTTTATGTTTGAAAATTTCTATACTAAAAGTTTAAAAAGAGAAAGGGTACTCAGACCCAAACAAGGTTTCCTTGAGGTGGGGAAAAATATAATTGAGTCCCTCACTGGCCTCGGGTAGGAAAACCGGAAGATTGGCAGGGTGTGTGCTGAGAGAATTAAGGCTAAAGAGATAGAATCAGTCAGACACCCCCAGGATAAAAGGACAAGTTATATAGCAAGTAAAGAAATGTCACTATCTCTGGTCTAGAAGGCAACGGAATTGACTGGTTAGTCCAGGCTGACCCCTGACCCCAAGTCCATGGTCTCAACCACTACATTCCACATCCCAGGGTGGTGGGAAAGACTTCTTTCCTGGGGCTGGAAAAGGCAGCATTCCCACCCAAGATCATTCTATGACAAAGACCCGGAGCAGGAGGTGTGCATATGGTGACAGGCCTCCAGGGGCAGGGGATGAGGTAGGTTCTTTCCTCCTGAGTGAGCCACAGCCTCAAGACAACAACTGGGAAAGGGAGTTATCTCTGATGACCTGGACTCAATCAGCAAAGCTCCAGGAAGTTCAAAGGATACTGTAAAATGTGCACTTTACACCACACTGTATATACAAGACCCTCACACCCTGAGGGAGGGAGTGTGAAAGATCCACCCGGAAGAATTCCCACAGGGCAGGGCAGTGCATTCAGAGCCCAAGGGAACCTACCTAGCTTGTTCTGCTGCCAGCTTTCTAAATAGGGACAAGAGCCAACAGGGAAGACAGGTGCCCTGTCTCAGCCAAAGGAAGAGGCTTAGGAAACAGGAACCAAAGGAAGGCAATTAAGAGCTTGTCATTCTTTTACCTTAAAACCCTGAGGAGGAACAGGAAACATGTTTTAAAGCACAAAGAGTCCCTGGATGTCTTTGGATACAGGTTAGGAGAGGAGGAACTAGGGGAGGGGGCAGGGGCACTGCAGGGCAGAGGACAAGCTGTAGGGGCCTGTGGGAGAAAGGCAGAGCCGAGGCCCCTCACTCCCACCCAGGCCCTGACAGCCACTGAATGAAGCCCTGTCAGAAAAGAGGAGCTGAAAGGTGCCTAGGACAACAGTGCGAAGTTCTTTAGCAGATCAGGCCTTTCAGGCTGCAGCAGAGGGGCTGGTGAGGAGGGTCATGGCCAGCAGAGCCTGGACCATCTGAATGGGGCGGGGAAGGGCAAGACAAAGAGGGCCTGGGACCATTGCTGCTCTGCCTCACCGTTGTCAACCACCACCACTGTTGGGCAGAGCAGGGATGGCTCCCGGTGTGAGGCAAGTCTGGACTGTCTAAGAGTATAATCTGCAGGTCATTTTGGAAAATGAGGGACCAGAAGATGCCCTACATCTTCCATGTGAGGTCAGATTTGAAGCCAGCACCCTGTGTAGTGCCACTCAGAGTCCCTGATTTAAGGCGCCCATGTCCCCAGGTCCATGTTACAACTATTTGACTAAAGAACAGCTTTATTGGTGACCTGAGGGAACCGTGGAGTATCAGCCTGCCAGGCCTCCTCCGGGCAGGAAAGCCAATTGTGATTCATGGAAGTTCCTGACAAGAGGTCAGATCCCCACTCCTAATTATAAAAAAATTCCAAATCTTGATTTCAGAGTCAACAAAAGGCCAGAGGCTGGAGTCCTGATAGGTATCAGTGCCCCTGCCTATGGGGGCTTAGGCTGCCGAGTTGTTCAGCAACATCTGTGGGGCTGTGCAGACAAGGTTAGAGGCCAGGAGGCCACAGGAAAGTGCCCAGACAAGTTTCCAAGAGGGTTCACACTTGGGCAGCACATGGAACCTGGCCCTTTGATTGCACTTTGGGTCCGATGGGATCAGTCGCCAAGCGGGCCTGGGTAGCAGAGAACCTCGCCTCCTGGCCCTCGGCATGTCGAGGCTCCATGGTCTGGGTTCAGCGGTGCTGCTACAACCTGTCACATGTCTTAGCTCCTCACTGCTGAGGTGTTCCCAGCTGCCTGACAGGGTACAGGTACCACATCACCACCCCTGTAGGGTTGATGATTACTGTGAAGATGGTTTCAGTCCGGAGGCCACTGATGACGCCACCCGTGTAGACATCCTGGGCCTGCAGCAGGGAGGGACATAACCAGTGCCCCCATAAGAATGGCCAGGCAGAGGGCATAGAAGCCTGGACTCTGCCTGTCTGTGCTGGGCCTCCCGTGTGCACTGCAGAAGTGGGAGCCGTGACTCTGTCACTTCTCCACCGGCACAGCCAGCTGATGCCCAGACATAGGCAGTGGCGAAAGCCTCGCCCACAGAGAACCTGAGCACCGTGCCAGCAAGGGCTGACCAGTGAGGCGAGGAGCATGGCCTCAGTGGGTAACGGGACTCATTCATACTCAGTAGTCCTGTTCGCTTAGCCTGAAAGTACCAGCGTGGAGAGCAGCACCAGCCATGGCCCTCAGTGCCTGCAGCTGCCCCTTGAGCACCTGCCACAGGACCCAAGGCCCACGGCTTAGGGGAGGCCTGTGTGAGGCCCACCCCAGCAACGCCCTCCCAGGAAAACAAAGGGCACTCACTACCTGCAGGGCGCTCACCTCATACAAGATGGAGCTGGTGAAGTTGAGCTGGGAGAGGGAGCAGTGGAAGCGATATGGCATATCTGTCCTGCGGCTGAAGAAGACCAAGGCGTAGGCATTATTGTCCAGGGGCCGCAGGAACACTTCGATGAGGGACTTCTCCTGGGCACAGAAGATGGCTGCTGGCTGGGGTTCCTGCTCAGGCAGGCCCTGAAGTCCCCTTCCTGGCCCTCCCTTGAGCCCTGGGTCCCCCCTCCCCAGGCCACAGTTTCATTCCACGCAAAAGCTTAGGGGGGTGATACCACAGCCCTCCAGTACCCCACCTATCTAACTACTTTCCTTCCTTCCCTGACTTGGCAGACACTCCCCAACACTTCCTGTGTCCAGGCCCCATGCCAGGACACAGACGCAATGCTGCATGAGGTCCTGCCTCAGAGAGCTCATAGGATGATGGGAGGGATGGACGTGGACAGCTGCTGCCCTGGAGTGGCCAGTGGGATGATGCACTCTGCCCTGAGCAGCCAGGAGCGTGAACCCCATCCTCCAGAAGGTCCCCGGCCTGGCAGGGATTAGCTCCCTCCTCTGGGCCTCCACAGGTACATTCTACAGGTGTGTAGATTTATTCTAACTGGAGAGGGAAGGAGTGTGCAAAGAGCACAAACTTTGGGCAACGCTGTTGGAATCAGGTCCTGTTGTGCTATTTACTAACTGTGGGGCCTTGAGCTAAGTTACTTAGACTCTTCAAATCTCAGTTTCCTCTTTTGTAAAACAGGGAAGGACTATCGACCTTGTGAGGAAATGTATCTAGAATGCCCAGCACACAGTAGGTGATCAATAAAAAGTAGACACCAGTACGAGTAATAGTTGTATTCCTTGGCTCATACAACTCCTAAACACTGTAGGGAAGCCCCAGTTCTCTACCAGACACCACAGTTCTCTGCCAGACACCTTATACTTCCAACCTGAGAGGCCTCACCGTACCCTGGGCACTGCATGGTGACGTCTCCCTTCCCCAAATCCCATGAGCTGTCCTGCTCTGGCCCTGCCTCACCGGGCAAGTGGGGGACAGCTGGAATAGCCCCCAGTAGAGTCTTCAACTGAATGCACCCAGCCTTGCAGTCTTCTTCTCAGGGGAGCCTAATCCCTCCGTCTCCCCTTTCTTCCCCCCACACCCCAATACCTTGAGAATCCTGCGTCCCTGGATACCTAAGGGATCCTGGTTGATTTTGATCATGAGTGGATTCTGCAGAATGTCCATGTTCTGGGCAGAGATGGTACGCAGGTCCGTGGATATGAAGAGGGGGGCCGCCAGCACTGTCCACAGGGCCATCTGGGCCCGAGCTTGCTCGAAACTGAGGCCAAAGTTCCCAATGAGCAGCTAGGGGCAGAGGAGAGAAGTGGTCAGCCCTGCCCTCTTCAGTGGGGAGGGTATAGGCACCAACCCCAAGCTTGTAGCTGAAGCAGGAGAAGATGGAGGTGGGAGGCACGGCCACATGGGGAGCCTGGTTTGGCAAACACCATTCCCTAGCAGTGTGGCCTCGGGATGAGTTGAGTCACTTTCCATTTGAGCCTCAGCTTTTTATTTCACAAGAAAGGGGTGCTGGTCATGTCACAGGTCATTCCGATGGGATCCTGCTGCCAAAAGCATTTGTAAACTGAAACACGCAAGTCAAGAAACGCACCCAGGATGGCAGTGGTAGGAAACCAGAACCAGAGCCGGACAGAGTCCCTGCTCTTGCCAGTAACCACCACCTGCCCCACCACCTGACCCAGGGCAACCAATCTAGACGGGACACAAACGATTACTGCTCACACAACACCGTTACATACTTAGTGATGCCAACCTAACTAAGCACTGTACATGTGCCAAGCTGTGCCAAGCATTTTAAAGGGCCATCCATTTCACCCTCAAAACAGCCCTATATATAAGGTAGCTACTATTATTATTTTCATTTTCCAATTGACAAAACAGGCACAAGGAGGCAGCCAACCAATGTTTCATTCTCATATTGATGTTTCTCTCTCTCCCTCCCCCTCTCTCAAAATCAATAAAAAATATTTTAAAAGACAAAAATTACTAAAATTAAACACAGAAACGGAGGCACAGAGAAAATTAAGTCACTTGCCTAAGGTACGTGGCAGAGCTGGAGCTAGAACCCTAAGGCAGGCCGATTTCTGTTTCTCCAGGTGCCCCACTATCTGGCCAGTATTTGTATTATTTTAATCATCACTGGTATTAAATCTTGATTAAATGAAGAGATAGCTATAAAACTCTAAGACAAATTGTAAAAATATTTAAGTCACCAAGGCTACGAGTGAGGTGGGTACGAGGGGCCGGTTCTGCCGGTGGAGGCTCTGCAGGAGGGTGACAGGGTACAGGGCATTGAAAGAAGGCTCAGAGGCAGCCTGGGTGGACAGGCTAGGGAGGGAATGGACAGAGGTGTGGAATATTCATGTTTTTCACTCTGCAGAGGAATACTGTTTCACTTAGAGCTACTGCAGACCAAGTTCTCAAGTTTCAAGCATCAGAATTGCCTGGGAAGACTGTCAACAATGGGCATTCCCAGGCCCTCTCCCAACATTCTGATCCAAAAGGTGGGGGTGGGGTGGGGCCCTGGGAACAGAATTGTAAATAAGCTCCAAGGCAAGTCTAATGCAGCTGGTTCAGAGACACTGATCTAGAACCTGGCAGTGAGCGACCAGAGAGAGGGAGCAAGTCCATCATGGTGATGGGTCCTGGGACATCCCCTCCATGTTGGTACCATGTCTGGGTCGTTCCAGTGTCCAGGGCCGGCCACTGGTTGCAGAATGTCCTGATGGTCCACAAACCAGTCCAGGATGGAGAGCACACTGCTCCAGGAGTCCTGGATGTCGTCATAGTTGCGCCAGAGGTTACAGATCTCTGCCAGCTGACTGTAGTTCACCTGGGTGTCAGGGAGGCAGAGTTCAGCACAGGAGTCACCCTCTGCTGCCCGCAGGCTGCACAGGGGCGGGGAGGCTCAGCAGGAGACAAGAGGGTGGGGAAGGCAGAGAACCAACCCTAGCTTGTTCAGGATGAGGAAGGACGCAGAGAACAGCCCTGCTCTGGGGCTGCCCAGGCCTCTGCTCCATGGATGCTGGTGCCAGAAGCCTGTCCTGCCCTCCCATGCCAGCTGGGTCAAGCCCAGGGTACAGGCTCCAGGTGGTATACCACCAACATCCCTGCTGCACACCCACCCTGTGTTCCCGCAGTGACTCACCCTCTGCCAGCGTCCTCCCTCAGGTCTGCAGGTCTGACCGCACCCTTTCTGGTGTCCTAGGTGCTGAGGGCCCCTGCTGAGGTGCCCACAGGCCCTTCCGAGACGGGCCCCACCTGCCTATCCTCACCAGCCTTCTGGGTCTCCAAGCCCACTCAGGACAACCCAGGTTCCCTCCGCCTGATGGGTACAGTGTGCCTGCCCATCACGTGTGGTTCCCATGCCTTCAGCCACCTCACAAGTGCCTCTTCTCTAAGACCCTAGGCTGGCTGGGTGCCTCTGGGGTACTCGGGGCCTTCTCTCTAGACCTACAAATCAGCACTCGGGCAGCTATGGTGAGAGGAGAAGGCGATGGGCGGCCTGTGACTGCACAGGAGGTGGGGAGGCTGCCAGGTGGGCGCAGGATGGCTTACCAGGATGGCTTACCTTGGGGGGGGAGGCCCCCTTCGTAGGCTGGCCAGCTGCAGGAGAAGGCGATGGGGCGGCCCGTGGCGTTCAGGGCAGCAGCCATCATGGGGTACCCTGGAGAAGTCCAACCCCCACATTTCATGACCGAGAAGGTGCAGGAAGCAGCCTAGGGCCTCAACCCAAACATTCTCCCACCAAAGGTGAGGAAACTGACGCTCCACAGAGGTGCTTCCCCCTGTGCCCAATGCTGCGAACACTTCCCAGGTGGGCACGTGCCAGCATCTTTAGGAGCTTGGAGCCCTGGGTGAGGGGAACTGGGAAACGCCACTTCCTAGGAGGCATACAGACAGACAGGCTCGGCCAAGTGGACCCTGGGGCCCCTTCCATGGCCGTCCCTCCATCTACCTGATGGCCCCCAGCCAGCTGTGCGGCTCACCCTTGGCCCGTTCTCCGGGGTCGAGTAGCAGCCATCCAGCTTCAGCATGTCCACCTTCCACTCGGCGAAGGTTTGAGCATCCTGGACCACCTTGTCTAGCGTGGTGCCGGGGAAACCCATGCAGGTGAAATTGCCCAGGTCCTCATAGATGCCCAGCTGTAGGCCCAGGGAGTGAGCCTGCGGGGGAGCCAAGGACACAGGGGGCTCAGGCAGGACCCTCAGGGAGCCACCTCACAGGCGCATCTGGCCCAGCCCCATTCAAACCTTCCGGTGCCCCAATGACAAAGGAGAGGGCTCCGCTTGCTGGCTGGCCTCGGCCAACTATGGTCCTCTCCTCCCTCCAACACACACTCCCAGGGGCTGATCCTTGCCTCTAGGCCTTCGCTTCGCCATCCCCTCTGCCTTAAATGTCATCTCTCTGGTATCAGCTCACGAATTGCCTTCTCTTTGCAGAACCTTCCTGAAATCCCAGGTGGATCAGATGTCCTTCCTGGCTCCCCCCACCACTGTGGGCCAAAACTAGCGATTTGTTTGTTTCCCCTTCAGACTGAGTTCTCAAACAGGGATGGTGGAAATAGAGCCCTAAGCAGGGTGAGGTGGAAAGAGTGATCTGGCCCCCAGGCCAAGGGGCAGGGCTGGGTGGGGCTCACATAGTCAGCCAGGAAGGCAATGCCGTTGGGGAAGCGCTTGGGACTAGGCATCAGGCGGCCTTTGGCATCGCGCCCACCAATCCAGCAGTCATCGATGTTAAGGTATGTGTAGCCCAGGTCCCGCCATCCGTCCTGTGCCAGCCGGTCAGCCATCTCCATGAAGAGCCGCTCACTGGCAAGAGGAGCAGGGGATGGAGCAGCTTAGCGGCCTAGCATGTTCCTCATCCAAGGCACCTTCCTCAGAGTTCTCAGATGCTGAGTGTGAATCCAGGCTACAAGGACCCTGGCCTTGGGGTCAGCTGCAGACTAAGCCAGGTAACAACTGTAAATGGCCCCAGGCATAGTGCCATGAGCCCTATGCAGGGTGAAGTTGAAAGGAATGGTCTAGCCCAGGGGTGGGCAAACTTTTTGACTCAGGGCCACAATGGGTTCTTAAACTGGACCAGAGGGCCGGAACAAAAGCATGGATGGAGTGTTTGTGTGAACTAATATAAATTCAAAGTAAACATCATTACATAAAAGGGTACGGTCTTTTTTTTTTTTTAGTTTTATTCATTTCAAAAGGGCCGGATCCGGCTGCGGGCCAAGGGGCAGGACTGAGCCAGGGGCAGCACTGTGAGGTCTGGCCTGGCCTCACCAGTTATCTCCTGTGATTATCTCAGGGGCTGGGTTCACAAAGTACCTGCCCCACAGACCTGACAGGCCCCACAGAGGCCCCAAGCGTGTCACAAGGTTGTCAGATGTCCCAAGAGTCACCTCTGGCTGCAGCCTTGCTGGGAAGGGAGATGGGGGGGATTTGACCCTGTTCTCTTTTCTCGCTGACTCTCTCCTCCCTGCCCCCACTCTGCAGGGCCCTGGGCACAGCTTGTCAGGTGGTGTGGTGCTTCCTCACCTGATGCAGTTCTCTGGGTCCTCTTCACAGTCAATGTTGCAGCGAAAGCGTTCCCAGGCCAGCCAGCCCATGGGCGGCCTCCGCAGGAGCCCATTCTCCAGCACCAGCACCTGGCCCACCAGGGCTAGCAACGGCACTGTAGGAGGATTGGGGATGACTGAGTGGCTCCCACAGCCCCGGCCCTCGCCCGACCCCCTCCACAGGCTGCCGGCCTGCACACTAGAGGAGCAACTCCTGGGCTTGAGGTAGACTTGGCTCTTCCTGCAACTGCTGGCTCCTGCATGCAGTGGGTGAGCAGACAGATGGTGCCTGGAGCAGGTCAGTGTGTTTGAGGCCTGGGGGACATCCCCACTTGCTGTTGTTGCCACAGCAGTGCTAGAATTAGCAAAAACTAATAGCTAAGGTCATATCCTTTCTCTACCCAGACCAACTCCATTACACAGAACTGACAGTCCACTGTAGCCAGACTCCAGGTCTTTGCTCTCCACCACAGATCCCCAAGAGACCTAGAAGGGCTAAAGAGATCAGCCAGGCCCTAGCTGGTTTGGCTCGGTGGATAGAGCGTCAGCCTGCAGACTGAAGGGTCCCAGGCTCGATTCTGGTCAAGGGCACATGCGGGCTCCATCCTAATTAGGGGGCGTGCAGGAGGCAGCTGATCGGTGATCCTCTCTCATCATTGATGTTTCTATCTCTCTCTCCCTCTCCTCTGAAATCAGTAAAATTATATTTAAAATAAAAAAATAAAAAGAGAGATCAGCCAGGTGGGACCTGCACAGCCAGCTCCCCAGGGTGTGCCCTTTTCCTCTCGGGCCTCAGTTTCCCTATCTGTAAAATGGAGTTAATGTGCCGACTTTACAGGGCTGTTCTCAGCACATGTCGATATCATATAAGATTGGGCCTCTGCACTTTAGAGGGGAACTGATTCCTCAGGGGGGCGGGCAGTTCCTTCTCCTTTCCCAGCCCAGCTCCAAGAATAAGAGGAACAAGTCTCCCACATGGCATACCCACATCAGGGGAGGAGGCCTGGACTCCCGCCAGGTAGTCCCACCCCCAGCTGGTCACCTACCCTCCCAAAGCCACCCCCTCCCGTGTAGGTTACCTGTCTTCCACAGCATTGCTCTGCACCCAGCGTCCCAGGAGCCGACCAGATCTGCTTTTCCCAGCTTTATACGTTGGGCTTTGGAAGCTAAGAAACGTTAGAAAAGTACTGGCGTCGCTACTGCCCGACTAGCCCTGCGGCCTTCAACCCTGGGCGGGGATCCCCAAACCGCCCCCACTACCCCCACTCCCTGCCCAGCCATACTTCCCGGCTTCCTTCAGAAATACTAAACAACGTGTCTCGGACATCAGACCTCACCCCCCCCTGCAGTGCGGGGCGCCCCGAGAGCCCAAGGGCGGGCCTCCTCCGGCCGGGGCCCAACAGGCAGCACGGGCTCCAGGTCGCCCAGGAAGAGGGGAGACGCCAGGCCGAGACCAGGCTCTGGACTCCTCCCGGGTCTGGGTGGCCGCCTCTGGCCGCCACAGGCAGCAGTCACCGCGCGGGGACCCCCACCCCAGAGTGCCCGGCCCGCGGCACTCACCTGCCACCTCCTCCGACCCACCGCAGCTTCTGCCCCCGGAGCCGCGAAGCCCTGCAGCCGCCGGATTCTCCGACCTCGTTCCAGAGGGGCGGGGCCTGACGGCGGCCAGCCCTCCCCTGGAGCCTATCAGAACCCCTCCAGCAACGCCGTGCCCCGCCCTCAGGGCCCTGCGCTCTCCGAACCGCCCCCAGCCCCGCCCCCTTTGGGCTCCCGCTGACCCCGCCCGCGGGCATAGGAGGAAGCTGCTGTGCCGCCTGCCCCAGCTCCCCTGAAGCTAGACCTTTCTCCCCTGCCGGGCCCTGTGGGCAAGGAAGTGTCTGTACGTTGCAGACGTGCAATAAACAGCTGTGCCGTGAATATCTGCTAAGGGCTTTGTTAAGGGGCATGAGCCCTGGCTGGTTTGGCTCAGTGGATAGTGCATCGGCCTGCGGACTGAAGGGTCCCGGTTTGATTCCGGGCTGGGGGCGTGCAGGAGGCAGCAGATCAATGATTTTTCTTTTATCATTTATGTTTCTCTCTATCCTTCTCCCTTCCTCTCTGAAATCAATAAAAATATTTTTTTTAAAAAAAAGAGGAAATGAGGGGATACCCTGAAGCGTGACTCTCAAAACCGGTAGCGGAAGATGAATACATAAGCTTGGGAGGGGAGTGGGCGGGGAAAACAAACCAGGTGGAGGGCACAGCTCTTGCCAAGCCAGGAGGCTTTCCTTCCCACCGGACACTGCGGCACCTGTTACACTAGCCCAGGCACTCTGTACGTTTCTTCCCAGTTTCATTCATCAAAATTTTATTGACCAACTACTAGGGCCAAACACTTCATCCTTGGCACCTTCACTGGGTTAGTCACGAGCATCTGAAACATAACGGGCCCAAACGGAACACCTGCCACCTTCCATATCTCAGGTAATGACAACTGTCCTGCTAGGTGCTCAGGTCAAAACTTTGGAGTCGTCCTTGCCTCCTCTTCCCTCACTCCCCACATTGTCTCTCCGCAAATCCTGTTCTCTACCTTCAGAGCGCATTCTGAATCTGGGCACCTCACTGCTCTCCCAGCCCCATCATGTCTTGCCTGGATTAGTGCAGCAGCTTACATTTCAACCACATTTATTCTCTCCACAGCAGCCTGGCTAGTCCTTGAAAACAGCTCACTCAAGACCCTGTGATGTCTGTTCATCTCAATCTGGAGCAACAGCCCTCACAGCTTTACAAAGCCCCACCTACACATTCTGACCCCACCCGCTACTGCTCTTCCCCCACCTCCCCCGCCCCCCCCACCCCCCCCCCCACCCACCTCCCCCCAACACACCGCTGCCGGGCCCTGGCCTCCTTGCAGTTCCTCGAACGCAACAGGCCTCAGAGCCATTGCACTAGCTGCTCCCTCTGCCTGGAGTGCTCTTCCTCCAGATACTGGCATGACTGGCTCTATCATTTCCTTTAAGTATTTCTCAGATGTCACCTTCTCAATGAAGCCCACCCTGATTATCCTGTTTAAAACTCAACCTCCCCATTCCCACAATTTCCTCTCCCTTACCATGTTCTATGTTTTCCACACCATGTATTATCTTCTAACTCATTTATTATGGTTTATATTATTAATTGAATAAGATTTAGCGAGGGATATAGATAATACACAGGAAATAAAAGCGTGAGTGTAGGCAAGTTTTCTATTGTGGTTAGTGCTACAATGAACACACAACCCCGGGATGTGATAGACTTGAGAGTAGGTGAAAGGGTTCAGAACAGGCCTCCCTATGAAGTGCTACTTTAGCATGTGGATTATTTTGAGCTGAAGGCAATGCAAACTCTGTAGGCTCAGGAGAAACTTCTGCACCCCCACAACTACCTAGAAGAATTTAAATGAGGAGCCTTGCCCATGATAAGAGTTATTACCAGATATAACGTTTTATGGCCTATCTCTATGGCAGGGCAAACATCTGCTCTTCTTAATCAATCTGTGAATTCTTATAGCTCTCCTCCCCTCTGAAGCGCCAGGCCTCTTACCACATTCCTTAGCTCAGAATATCATGGACACCTTATTTTACCTTTCTGGCTCTGAACCTCTATGTATGTGGGGTCTCTGAATCTCTCAGGGATGTGGGGTTCCTGTATGTACGAATGTCACTAAATTTGGTTCTTTTCTCTTGTTAACCTTTCTCATGTTGATTTACTTATTTGACCAGCAGAAAGAACCTAGAAGAGCAGAGGAACTTTTCTTCCCCTCCCACATAGACTTCTTTACCGGTACGTCAGGGAGGAGACCTTTGAGCTGAGACATAATTGGTATGAAGGAGTCCGGAGGAGGTAGAGCTGAGGGGTAGGGATGAGCAGGAAGAGCACTCTGGGCTGCAGGTACTGCAAGGGGGACAGCTCTGAGGTGGGAACAAGTTCGCAGACACGGTTTGAGCGTACTGGCCTCCAGGGACATCGGGAAATCCCAGCCTCCTGCATTTGGGGGGCAGGGGTGGGGACGGGCAGCAAACGTTATACTTGAAGACTGATTCTGTCTTTGCCAACAATTTATTTAGCACAGGTTCATTGTGGGAATTACAATAATTTCAGAAGCCAATAGCATATCTCTAAATAACCATACTCCAAAAAAAACGACAGATTAATCACACTCATGTTCCAGGCAAGGGGAGGTGAAGGAACAATGTCCGAATTTAATGAGGTGCGTCTTTTTTACAGGAGGACACACTCTGGAGAATCAGCAACCAATCAAGAAGCTGATTTCCAGCCCTAATTGGTTTGGCTCAGTGGATAGAGCATGGCCTGCGGACTGAAAGGTCCCAGGTTTGATTCCAGTCAAGGGGATGTACCTTGGTTGCAGGCACATCCCCAGTAGAAGGTGTGCAGGAGGCAGCTGATCAATGTTTCTCTCTCATCGATGTTTCTAACTCTCTAACCCTCTCCCTTCCATTCTGTAAAAAATCAATAAAAATATATTTTTTTAAAAAAAGAAAAAAAGAAGCTGATTTTCAGCTGCTAGCACAAAAGTAAAAGTCCCCTTGCTGCTAGAGCACTGTTGCTAGGGAACCAAAAGGCCAGTGTTAGCTGGGAGGCTGTGCTGCTCTGAGGGTTAGCACTTCTGAGCCCGCCGCAAGGTTTACCACCACCACCCCCCACCCCCACCCTCAAGAGTCACCGGTAGGAGCAAATGTCGCAAGGGTCTTTGGAGAGTTTTTACGTTACAGAGCGTCGCTTTGCCCAAACCGACACTCTCCAATAGTCCTCCCATTCCCAGTATTTACAGTCAATGTCCCCTTTTCATAGCTGCTCCTCCCTCCTCCACGGGTCCTTAAGGACCAGCCCCCAGCTGGGCTGCTGGCTGCTTCGGGACTCCGCATGTAGAATGATGACCTCCTGACTTCATACTTAGATCAAAGCAACTTTTTTGGGGTCATCAACAAGTGGATTAAAACAACTTCACTTAAGTCATAAGCAAGCGGATTGACCTGAAATCATATTAAGCAAACACGCAGCACAGGCCCACCCGCTGGGCCGGACCCAGGCGGAACCCGGGGGGGGGGGGGGGGGGGTTGCCGTGGGAGTGGCACAAGGGGAAATAGAAAACCCCAGAAGCAAAGACCTGGTGACTCCAGGGCCCAGTTGCGTGGCCAGAAAGCTCAGCCGGACTTGCGGGCTGAGTAGGAGCCCGCCCAGAGGAGGCGCCGGGCTGGGCCTCCCGGGCTGGGCCTCCGGGCTCGGCTCTGCGGACAAGTGGGCGGGGCAGGGAGAAGGGGACTTGAGTGGGGAAGAGAAGGCCCGGAACCCTCTGGGCGGCGAGGGTGGGGGTGGAGGGGAAGGTGGGGTGGATGAGTCTGAGGACGGCGGACGGCCTGCGGCGGGGCCCTGGGTTCGAGGCCGCCAGCCACTGACCAGCTCTGTGGCTCAGGCAGGTCCCGGCCTCTCGGGCCTCAGTTTCCTTCCCGCGAAGATCGAGGGGCATCTGGTGAGTCCTGGACGGGCGGGGAGGGGGCAGCGACTCGAGCCGCCCAGGCGGGCCTCCTCGCTGCGCAGCCACGTTCGCAGGGTCCGAGACGGGACCGCCCCGGGGAGCGGCCGCAGCCCGGCACCGACCACCCTCCTGGGCTGCGGGAGGAAGCGGCCCGGGGAAGGCGTGGCCCGCGCGGACGTGGCGGGACAGCCCCAGTGCAGCACCGGGAAACCGAGAGCGCGGCGGCCCCCGCCGGCCGGTCGGTCCTCGCCCAGCCCGCTGCTCCTGGAGTAAAAGAATCCGGGAAACCCGGTGCAGCGGCCTCCCGCCGAGAGTGCGGCCGGGATTCGCAGTCCTGGGCGGGCTTTAGGGGGAGCACTCCCCCCGGCGGGCGGGGGAGGCCCGTGGGTTCCCGGCCCGGACCCAGGTGAGGCCGCTTCTCCAGCCACCGTCTCTGTCTCCGCCTCCTCCGCGGACCCCCTTCTAGACCTCCGCCTCCCCCAGCCCAGGGCCCAGTTCATTTCTCTCTCAGCGCTTATCGTGACCGATCCTTACATAGTTAGTGTTCAATCATGTTCCATCAATACACTATTATTAGTGTTTGCTTACAGTGTCTCCCCCGCTGGAGCGCAGGCTGCGGGAGGGAGGCTGTGTGTCGCCCACTGTTGTGCGCCCCGTTACTTCAGCAAATGTTCCTGAGGGCCCCTGGCCCTGTGCGGCCGGGTGTGGGATTATCCCTGGAGCCAAGCCACGGCCCTGTCTGGGCACCCTGAGGCTGGGGACAGCGGGTCAGCACAGGGAGGTCTGTGCGGGATGAAGGAAATGAAAACGGGGTGTGGGGGGGGCTGTGGCTGGGCCCTCCTGGGTCAGACCACCTTGGTGGCCGGGAGCAGTTTAGATCATGTGCTCTGGGCAGGCCGCTCAGATTAGGTGATTAGATTAAAACCCACAAGTAAACTGACCAGTGCTACGAGGGCACTTAACAATGACGGAGCCTCAGAGGGCCAGGAGTTGTCTGTCAAGACAATAGGAACCCGCCCCTTTATTGCTCCTAGGAGCCTGGCCTGGGGAGGTGGTTTGGTGGGGGATTACCAGGGGCCTGGGCAGGCTTCCTGGAGGAGGCAGTGGTTTCACTGGGCACCAAAGTCAAGAGCTCTCATCCTTTAGGACCGTGGTCGGCAAACCTCGGCTCTTGAGCTACATGCCGCTCTTTGGCCCCTTGAGTGTGGCTCTTCATAAACCTTAGGAACACCCTAATTAAGTTAATAACAATGTACCTACCTATATAGTTTAAGTTTAAAAAATTTGGCTCTCAAAAGAAATTTCAATCGTGTACTGTTGATATTTGGCTCTGTTGACTAATGAGGTTGCCGACCACTGCTTTAGATAGGTTGACCAGGTCTGAGAATTCTTTTGCAGGCGCACTGGAAATCACGTGGTCAAGTGGTTGAGCCTTGTGGCCAGACCAGAGAGGCCCCTGCCTCCCCCTAGGAAGCTCTGCTGGTAAGTGCGTCATCGCCGCAACTTGTCCCCAGCAGGTGTGAGGGGACGAGGTGGCCAGGCTGTGCTCCTGCTGGCCATTGGTTGTGTGCAGTTCACCTTCACTGCTCCCTGCCTCAGTTTTCCATGAGTCAGGAGGGTCATGCCCTGGAGGTCTGGCCTCAGGGTTGGCACTAAGGGGTCCCCAGATTAGGGGATGGTTTAAGCACAATAGTTTCAATGGACTTGGGGTCCATTTCAGCTCAGCTGGGCCGGTTCCTTTGGATTTTAAAAAGCTGCGTCAAAACCCTGCCATACCTCCTGGTCCGATACGAGCACATTCTCCTTTGAGTCCTCTGACGGCCAGTGTATTTCAACAACAACCCGTGAGAGAAAGGCAGGGGAGACTAGCTATTTCCACAGATGAAGCCACTGAGAGCCGCAAGCAAACAGCAAGGGAGTAGAGGCCACAGGGCTGGGCCCAAGCCTCCTCCAGAGCCAGCACCCTTCCCCACAGGGACACGGGGCTACCTCCCTCTCTGACCCATGGCCGCCTCTCTTGCCTCACAGTTCTTATGGAGCCATGAAGCTGAACGAGAGGAGTGTGGCCCACTATGCACTGAGCAACTCCCCAGCGGACCACAGGGGCTTCCTGCGCACTTGGGGGGGCCCAGGGACTCCACCCACCCCCAGTGGCACTGGCCGAAGGTGCTGGTTTGTCCTCAAGGGCAACCTGCTGTTCTCCTTTGAGAGTCGAGAGGCCCGGGCCCCTCTGGGGCTGGTGGTGCTGGAGGGCTGCACGGTGGAACTGGCCGAGGCTCCCGTGCCGGAGGAGTTTGCCTTCACCATCTGCTTCAACGCGCCCGGTGTGCGTCCATACCTGCTTGCTGCTGATGGACCGGCAGCCCAGGAGGCCTGGGTGAAGGTGCTGTCCCGGGCAAGCTTTGGCTACATGCGCCTGGTGGTGCGCGAGCTGGAGAACCAGTTGCGTGATGCCCGCCAGGGCCTGGCCTTGCATCGGCACTCATCCTGGAAGGCGGGTACCAGCCCCTGTAAGACCCAGCCTCCTGACCAGTTGTCTCGGGGCCTGGAGAACGGCCACACCCTCTCCAGGGATTACAGCCCAATGGGCTTGGTGGAAGCCGGGGGCAGCAGGCCAGCAGGGCGGAGCTTGGCAGAATGTGAGTTGCAGGGCGCTGCCAGCCTCCTCCTAGGCAGGGGCCAGAGCCCCGTGTCCCCTGAGACCTCTTGCTTCTCTACCCTGCACGACTGGTACGGCCAGGAGATCCTGGAGCTGAGGCGGGGGTGGCAGCAGAGGGCCCGGGGGAGCCAGCCAAAATGTGAGCAACAGGATAAGCCCTGAACCTGGACCCTTTGGGTGCTGCCCTTGTCCTGCTGGTCAGGACACCGGGGCCAATTCTTTTTTTAGGAGTTTGATGTTTACTTGTTTCCAAAGTTGCTTTTTTTTGAGGGGGTTTTCCAGGTTCCAGATCCACCCTCATACCTGGAGAGGCCTGAGGAATCATTACTTGTATCCCCTTTATTTCCTGAGGCCCAGAGAGCAAAGGTGGCTTGGAGGGTCCTTTGGTGGGAGAGGGCCTTCAGCCACCACAGAGGGAGGTACTCTGCTCAGAAAGTGCTGGAGCCCCGTCCTCTCTCTCCTTCTGGCTGTCCTGGTGCTGGGTGCTGACCCCGGAGGGACTGGTAGCTTTTACGTCAGCAGAAATCCTGACTGCACTCGGTACGCAGCTGCCAGCTCCTGGGTCTGCAGAGGGAAGCCGAAGAGGTGGGCAGGCAGCGTGGTTCCCCAGGGACAGCCCGTTTGGTGTGGTGCTCAGTGCGGGCATTCTAGGAGCTTGGGCACAGGACTGCTAGCACCTTGTGATAAACCCTCTCCGGCCTGGGCTCCCAGAGGGGTGTTCCAGCTCCTGGAACCACCTGGGAACTTGTTCACAGTCCTGCTTGTCACCCAGGGTGCACCTGCCAAGACCCTCTCATTGCCACTCTCCCTAGCAGGCCAGATGTCTTCTTTTTCCATTTATTCTGGGAGGCACAGTGGCTGGCTCTATAGAGCCAGAGGCCTGACGAGGCTGATGCCCTACGGGCATGGTGGCAGGGGCCAGATGGGAGATGCAGAGACTGCACAGATCACACCCCCACCCCCAACGCACACAATCTGTCCCTTAGCCTCTGCCACTGGGGCCTCGGCAGCCTGACCAAGGCCCAACTAGGCCTAGAGCAGTGGTTCCCAGCCTCTTTTGGCCACACCCCACCTACGCATCTCTCAAATCCTGATGCCCCCGTGACATATAATTCTTATTATTCAAAAAGTGAACTCTTACGCACGTGGAGGAAGCCTAAAAGGCCATTAACTTTTTTTTTTAAATATATTTTATTGATTTTTTACAGAGAGGAAGGGAGAGGAAGAGAGATAGTTAGAAACATCGATGAGAGAGAAACATCGATTTAGCTGCCTCCTGCACACCCCCTACTGGGGATGTGCCCGCAACCAAGGTACATGCCCTTGACCGGAATCGAACCTGGGACCCTTCAGTCCACAGGCCGACGCTCTATCCACTGAGCCAAACCAGTCAGGGCCATTAACTTGATCTAAACAAGGTTCCAAAGAACATGGCATCATGAAAGAAAAAAAAAAAAAGAACGAAAGGACAGTAGACATACTGAGGAAGAAATATGAAAAAATAGCAAGTAAAGTTTCAAAACATAATAGAGAACTGAAATGCATAAATGTCACAATATATATTTATAGACTGTATATGAGGTCCCTAGAACCTTAAGAAATGCAAAAAATTCACGGATAACTCTCGCATTGGCCCCCTGTGGGGCGTGTGCCCACGCTGGGAACCATGGCCTAGAGGCTGAGGCTGAGCCTCCAGTAAAGGCCAGGAGGCTGAAACGCGGGTTCAGGGTCCGGGACCTCTTCCCGCCCGACTTGTTTCCAAAGAGGAGGGGCCGCCTCCCCAGCCCTAAACGGAAGCGCCACAACCTTGTTTTATATAGACATTCCAGGCTTTTATCTTTCTTATTGTTACAGTAATTTCTGTACGATTAAAACACTACGTTCTTTTCTACTCATCTCGGTTACTCAAGTTTATTTCAACAATCGCCTGAGGGCTGCTCTGCCGAGCTCCGGCTGGCCGGGGTGGGAAACGGAAAAACCTGACGAGTCTCCCGCACCGACCCTACTCACGGCCCGCCTACCGCGCCGGGGCTTCGGCGGCGTCCTCGTGACGTCACGACGTCGGGCTGGCCCGGGACAAGCGCCTCCCTCCCACCGCAACTGGAACTAGGCGCACTGCGCGACTGTGAGGCTGGGCCTCTCATCTGCTCCAAAAGCCTCGCGAGGCTTGGGGCAGCGTTCTTTGTGAGGGCGTCGCCGGGGCCAGGCGCTGGGGTCCGGGTGCCGGGATGGCGTCCGGAGCGGCTCGCTGGTTGGTATTGGCTCCTGTCCGATATGGGGCTCTCCGGAGAGGACCGAGTTTGAAGAAAGATGGAGATATCTCCGCCGGACGGGGCGGCTCAGGTCGGAGCCTGGTACCGTCGAGGTCAGTCATCGTTACTCGCAGCGGCGCCATTTTGCCCAAACCGGTGAAAGTGAGTGTCTGCCTGGAGGCGGGGCAAAGGTGCCGAGGCCAATCGTAGTGGGAAATGTGTGCGGGTCGACTTTGATTGATAGGAGCACTGGCCAATCAAACGGCCGCCTTAGGCCGGAAGACGGATCAAGGACGAAGTTTTGCGCTAATGCGCTAATTTTGACTGGTGGGAGGTGGGGTTAGGTCCCGGTGTTGAGCTGGGTGTACGTAGAGACTGAAGATGGGGGCGAGAACTGAGAAAGAGCATTTTGCACTAGCTTCTTTAGGAGCGCGGTGTCTAGATCCATCTCTGGTGCCAGAGGACTCGGCTTTATGAGTCCAATATAGACAGATCCTGTAACCTCTGCCCGTCTACCTCAGAGTTGATGTAAATGAAGTGTAGGTGGGACGGGAACTTACCTTTTTTTATGAGTTTGGACTTACTCCTTAAGTCATGTGATTTAAAGTCCTGAGAGGTGTGCAGGAGATTATTACCATCCATGTTTTTACCAATGAAGAAGGGCTGGGACGGAGGTGGGGGGGGGGGGGGCGCCGGGGCGGACAGAATAGTGTCCAAAGCTAGCAGCTCAGCTTGGTCCTGGAAACTGGTTTCCTGCTGGTACAACCTCCATCAGGTCCTATTTTTCCATCACCGAATGCTTTCACATGCCCTCAGTACCCGGGGTTTCCTAAGTAAAATGTAAACAGCCCCTTATACCAAACAAGTTTGCTTTTTGACTCCCAAAACTGGGGGCGGGGGTGGCTACAAAACAAAAATTCTTAAAAGCTAGGCTGGCCTATGCTAGTTCACACAGACAGGTGAGTTCAGGGCTGTTTCCTAGCAAGACGCAGGAAGGTGCAGGGTGGGTGTTGGGGAAGAGATGCCTTATAAAAAGGCATAGCTGAAAAAATGTTTGAAACTCCATAGGAAAATACAAGAGGAAATGTTGAGATTTTACAAAACAACCCAGTCCATTTAAAAAGCTAGACTTTCAGTGTAAAATATATGCTCACTTTTCAAAACACACCTGTTTCTAAAATTTAATGTGGTGAAATCAAATTTGTCATTGGGAAACCTGTTACTTCAAGAACTCTAAAGAATATCCCTTCACTGTACATCTTTTTATAATCCATTTTCATGTATTTAGTGTCTCCAAGTAAAACTGAACTTTACTTCCAGAGTCCAGCCCTCTTAGTACTTTCTCACCTGTTTCTCTATAGGTATCTGTAAATAATTACCATATTGTGCTCCAATTTTTACTTATTTTTATTTTATTTTAAAATATATTTTTATTGATTTCAGAGAGGAAGGGAGAGGGAGAGAGAGAAATATCAATGATGAGAGAGAGTCATTGATCAGCTGCCTTCTGCACACCCCCCACTGGGGATCAAGCCCACAACTTTGGCAGGTGCCCTGGCATGTGTTCATAGGTCGAAGGTCAACCACTGAACCACACGGGCCGGGCTTTATTTTATTTTTTAATCCTCACCTAGGACATGCTTATTGATTTGAGGGGGGGGGGGTAGAGAGAAACATCGATGTGAGAGGTAACATAGATTGGTTGCCTTCTGTAGGTGCCCTGGCTGGGAATCAAACCCGCAACATTTCAGTATACGGACGACGCCGGAGCCACACCAGCCAGGGCATGTGCTCCAGTTTTTAGATGTCTAGAATACCTTTATCTTTCCTCTCTGGTATCCACTTTGATGGCCATAAAATCACTTTATCTCTTCTTCTAATTTTTGCTCTGAATTTTCCCAAGGACTTTAAAATCAAGTTGTTCATGATGGGGTTGGTGTCCCTAAGAGGGAAGGACCCTGGGGGGCCAGGCCTTCTGCAGTCCTGCCACAGTGGGCCCTGGGGCTCACAGTCACCGCTCTGACCCTCTGCAGATGTCCTTCGGCCTCCTCCGTGTGTTCTCCATTGTGATCCCCTTCCTCTATGTCGGGACGCTCATTAGCAAGAACTTTGCCGCTCTACTTGAGGAGCATGACATTTTTGTCCCAGAGGACGACGATGACGATGACTAACAGGTAAGACTTGCTATTCCCCTACATGGCCCAGGAGCAGGAAGGGGGTGGGGTCTGAACTGGTAGTTTGGCCTGGTGGACACTTGAAGCAGAAGTGCAGACCTTTAATGAATTGACTCATTTGGTGGCTAATGTTTTTGCCTTTTCTCTGTTGGATGAGGAAAACTGTCTTATTGACTTATAAATTCACTGGGGTTTCTTCCAACTAGGTTGGACCACAGCCAGACTATCTGTCTAATTTAATCTCTTATCTATTTATTTTTATCCTCACCCGAGGATATGTTTTTATTAATTTTTAAAAGATAGAGGAACAGTTTGAGAGGAAAACAATCAGTTGCCTCCCATACCTACCCCAACTGGTGATCCACAAACTAGGTATGTGTTCTGACCAGGAATCGAACCTG